TGGGTCTTTTCGCTTCTCTGGTAGTTTGTTCTGCAGGATGGCAGAACACTCCTCATTGAGCATCACCGTTGACAGCTCCCCAAGCTTCCTCTTGTTGGTGAGGAGATCCTTCATGAACTTGGCATACTTGGGCATCTTCGATAATGCCTCCATGAAGGGCATGCTTATGTTTACCTGCTTCAGCATTCCCATGATCTTGGCAAACTCAGTCTCCAGTCGGTCTTTGTGCAACCGAGTAGGAAAGGGAAGCTACGGTACATACTCCTTCACCACTGGTTGCGGTTTAGGAGCAGGCACCTCAACCTCCTTCTCCATTTCCTCCTCATTAGCTGGAAGTGCTGAAGTAGGGGCCTCTCTCTCTTGTGCCCGAACAGGTGGATCAGCAGTCATCTTGCCACTCCTGGTAGTGATGGCCTTGCAGTTTTCATTCGGGTCCTGTGGATGAGGGATGGTTTGACCTGGTAGAGTACCGGGAGTCCTCTGAGCCACTGCTTGAGCCACACTTCCCAGCTGGGTTTGGATATCCTGCAAGACAGCCTGTGTGTTCCTCTGGCCAGTTTGAAGAGCCAGGAATTTACCCGAGGCCTTTTCCATGAACTGATCGATAGTGTTGAATTTCTGAGCACTTAAACTGGCAAGAGACCACCAGGTCCGCAATTCCACCATCGGGTCACTCTTTACTGGGCCTGCAGGTGCGGCCCCTGTCTGGGCGGGTTAGAGTGGCTGTTGCGGCTGCTGAAATTGCCCTTGTCTGGGCTGGTAAGGAGGCCTCAGGAAGCCTGGTGGTCCCTGGGGGGACTGGTTGGTCTAGAATTTGCCCCACCCCAGGAGAAGTTGGGATGCTGGCGCCACCCCTCGTTGTAAGTGTTGCTGTAGGGGTCGAAGCGCCTGGCATTGGCGATGAAGTCCACCTTCTCCTGGGGAGGTGGAAGACTCCCTCATCGCCTGAAAGTCCTCCACGGTGTGATGGGAGCTCACACCAGTGGCAGTGCATCGCCTGCGGCTGTCCTGTACCTGCAATCATCCCAGAGCGATCGATGGCCGAAACCAGCTTCGATACCACCTGCACCAAATCAGATGACTGGGTGGCTACAACATGCACACCCCGCCCTGGTGCTCGTCTCGATCTCCTTGCAGTTCCCCAGTCATAACCCTGCTTATCCATCTCTTCAAAGAGTTGATTCAGCTGTGGCGGTGTTTTGGTGAGCATATTCCCGCCACAGACCGAGTCAATCAGCTGCTTGTCTTCCGGGAAGAGGCCATGGTAGAAGGTTCCCACCTTGAAGGCGTCAGTAAAACCATGGTTTGGGACACTTGAGGAAAAGACTGGTGTATCTCTCCCAAGCGTCCCGAATGGTCTCATCTTCATCCTGAGCAAAGTGGGTAATTTGCTTCTGCAGGTCCGCCGTCTTGGACGGAGGATGGTAGCGAGTGAGGAACTTGTCCGCCAGGTTGGCGAACGTGGTGATCGAGCCTGGAGGGCGAGTGTCTAGCCACTCCTTGGCCTGCCCCTCTAGAGTAAATGGGAAGTAGCTCAGCTGGATGGCATCGGCTGGGACCCCATTGATCTTGATTCCATCGATCAGCTCGTGGAATCGCCTCAGATCAGATGTGATCGGGGGCACTCCCCCTCCTTGCCTCGGAACACCACCGAACCGCGCAACATGGTGATGACAGAGGGGCTCACCTCAAAGTTATTCGCTGGTACATGAGGGTGCTAAATGGGCGACCTTATGTCCGCGGCTCTAGCGGTCCAGTAGTATCCCATGGTCTTCTCCTCGGGAATGACCAAATCATTGTTCTGTGGGTCATCCATCTCTTCTTCGTCGGCGATTTGCAGCTGTGATAGCGCCTCCTCCGCATCCAGTCGCGCGTTTAGAGCCCGCTTGAAGTTCCTACAGGTCCGTTCAAGCTCCTGGTCTAATGGTAGTAAATCTCCCGACTGGCTACGGGTCATGCACTACCTGCACACAATCAGCAAAAGCAACCCGTGAAGGCACACAGGTGGAAGAGAGAAAATGCAGTAAAGAAAAAGCTAGAGTAACAAACTTTCACGTTTCTCCAATAACCTAGAGGGTCCCCGACAACGGCGCCAAAAACTTGACACGCTAAAACACAACACAAAGCTGCGACCAAGTGAAATCGCAGTCCGGAAATGCAGTAACGGGCAAGCTCTAATTGTCAACTTGGGGTCTAGATCTACTGCCTACTCCGTGTATATCTGTTATCTAGCAAACTAAGTTGAGTGATTGTTGATTTAAGCAAAAGCAGTAAGAAAGCAGGAACTGGTTCGGTTTTCTAAAGCAAAGGAAGAGTCACTCGGGAATGAGGCCCCCTAGCTCCTTAGTTATGTCTCAGTTGTAATTACCCTGGATTGATTTACTGTTGATTAAACTGCGGAAGATCGGACAGTAGCTTGGAATCTATTAAGCTGGCCAAGCCCTCTCAGTCCAACTACCCAGCAGACGACTAGTCTTCACCGGGATAGAAAGTTGAGGCTATGAACACAGAACTCCACTACTGGAATTGGATTCCAGTACAAAGTAGTAGATTGACTAACTCTCGTATAACCAATCTACTACTACCGAATGATGAAGCTCTAACAACCTAATCAGATTCTATCTATCTCAGGTTGCAGCAGAAATCAAGAAAATATGATCAGACTTCAATTGATTCAATGAATCATGCAACATTCGATTAAAACCAAACAGTATAAGAATCCCAAGTCATTACAATCAAGATCCCTAACACATGGAACTAAGTTCTTCATACCCAAGTGTGAGAGGGTTCTACTCCATAGAGAGAGAGAGAGAGAGGGAAACAAAATACAAAGCAGTCATACTCATAACAATGGGAAGAATCTGCTCTGGGATGGTGATCTCCACTCCAAGGATGATTTCCAAGCTTGATTGATGAAACCCAGCTCCAAAACCACTCTTAGGGGGGGTGTTCTTCGCACTTTCTCTCTCTAGGGCTCTGTTTTTGCTCCAAAAAGTCGATCCCCTCTCCTTTGCTCGAATTTGGATTAAAACCCAGAAATTCCCGACCACACGGGCAGGCCACACGGCCGTGTGACTTTCCCAGCTGCCCGTGTGAGTGAACAAAACGCGGCGTTTCGTTAAGTGACTTCAGGCTTCCTACACGGCCGGGGACACACGGCCGTGTGGAATTTACAGGATGCCCGTGTGAAGGCTCGGTGATTTCCACATGGCCACATGGGTTCCCTTACACGGCCGTGTGGGTTTTTAGCATGGTTCAGGAAACCGTACCGGACATCATACCGGATTTCTTTTCGGTAGGGTATTTTGTGGTACGACCGTGGTCCAACCGTTTCGTATCGGTAAAATATTATTTTTAAAATAGTAAAATATTTTTTTGTCAAAAAACCGTACCAGTATAGATAGACTACCGTACCGAAGTAATATCGGATTATACCGGAATATGCCAGATAATAAATGATAAACTAGTAAATAAACAAGAATACCTACAATATTTTTTATCCTTAGAAATAAAAAATTATAATAATATGATGCATATTAATTAATGTACAAAACCCAATAAACCCCACCTAAAAAACCATCGAGCCATAAAAGCAGAGACTCATCTCCATTCTCTGCAGCATATATCTGCAATTCCTTTCTTTCCACAAACACTACTTCTAAAACTCTCTTCTCCACGATTTGGGTCCTCAGTTAGAGGAGATTCTTCAATTAGAGCAATTTCTTCTTCCCCAATTAGACAAATTGAGTCCTCTGTTTTACTTTCTCCTTGGGTGGTGGAAGATGAAGAATCGGCAGCGCAGGGAGCAAAGTCGCCAGCCGACAAGCGGCGAAGAAGGGTGATGATTCGAACAGCGCCAGAGCTTCTTCGTTGATCTCCCGTTGAGATGCAATGAATTCGAGCAGAACCAAAGCTTGCATGTGGGATAAAATCTCATTCACGGCGACGACGGGGATGGATTCTAAGTAGGCGGAAGGTAACAGTCGGCAGGGAGAACTAGAGAAGACGAAGGGGTTGCTGGTCTAAAGTGCAATCTGTGATGGCTGCTTTGGACAGATGAAGAGGATGATACCGGTCGTTCTCAGGCTCGGCTGGGGGAGGCGAATGACAGCGGGGAACACGAACATGGAACAACGGCCGGTCTTTAACCAAAACGCGACCACATCTCAAGAATTCTGCAAACCGCCGGTTGCATCAAAACCGGCCGAGATACCGCGGTACGCCGGTTTGACTTCCCAATACCGGCCGGCAGACTTCTGCAGCGGCATTTGGTGTACCGTTTCATCACTGGTCCGGTTTCCGGTTTTTCCGGTTCAACCGGCCGGTACGATCCGGTTTCCTGGACCATGGTTTTTAGGCGTGCGATGGCTTCTTCAGCTTCTCGCCAAACGTCCGATCTTCGTCCAATCGACCCCGAACTCGTTCCCAAACCTTCATTCACGTATAAGGACCTGAAATATCACAAACAAGAACAGTCTAGCGTGAAATCGGCCTAAAACACGAGAAATAAGACTCAAACGGTGTAAGAATGGTGGGCAAAAACATGTGTATATATCAAGTCATCAAGTATAACTACCATGAACTCCAATCTAGAGAGAACCATGCCCTTCCGTTAAAATTTCCATCCAAAAACCGTTAACCAAGACTGAACTTTGGTTTGGGTGACACAAATGTCTAAAATACCCCTAATAATTTCACTTTAGAATTTTTTTGGTTCTTTTGTATAGCCAAATAATTCAAATAATTTCACTTTGAAGAGACCCAGAGAAATAAAACGGGACACAAAACTGACATTTTCGCTCCCATTTGCAGATGTCGGGTCGTCTAAATCTCGGTTCAACCATGATTGACGATTTTTCAATGGAAAGATTAACAGAAGGGCATGTTTGATAATTTTTCAAAGTACAGGGGCATGTTTGATGTAAAAAATAGTAGAGGGGCATGTTTGATAAAACGTCATAATATAGGGGCATAATAAACGCAAACCGAGCCGGCCGGCCGGACCGATAAAACGTCACCCGATCGCAAAACCGGCTCAGATCAGCTATTTAGCCGGAACGGCTTTTTAAAGCGGTTGGATGCAGGCCGGAGCGGTTAACCAGTTGAGCCGTCCGCTCGGTTTTCACCACTTCCGGCCGTTTTGATTTAATAAAAAAACAAAAGCAAAAATGCAAATTGTCGGGCTGGGCTGCAAAGAAAGAAAACCCTAGCGACTTATTTCAATTCATCTCCTTCCGTCTTCTTCGCAAATAGAGAGAATAGCGGCGACATCGTCATTGCCATCGCTTCCCAGTCGACGTTCCCAGCTGCGCCTCTCCCTTCGTCATCGCTTCCCAGTCGGTGTCGTTATCTCCCGTCTCGGCGTCGTCATCGCCATCGCTTCCTCTCGTCATCTCGCGTCTGTAGCAAACTCCTTGCCCCGCTGGCCGCGTCTCTCAGCGGAACAAAGCTCCGGTACGGCGATATGGAACCGGAGCTGGTAATTGCCTCTTCTTCAGTCGACGCCGGCATAGGCTGTTGGGACCTCGAAACGGGAGTTAAGCAGCCGCTCCACTACAAATCCTGCGCATCCACCCGCCACGGCCTTTCCGCCGTCGGCAGCCGCTTCCTCGCATCTTCTCAGCTCCAAGACCCTAAACTCAAAAATGGTTTCATTCACTACTGGTCTTGGTCCAAGGTACTTAGTCTTTTCTATTCTTTGCCTCCCTGTTACACTTAGTTTCAAAGAATTGACATTTTCGTTGGCAAATTTTTTGGGTCTCTCTTTAGCCGGGAGTGGAGGTGAAGAGCTTTCTGGCGGAGCCCATAAAGCCCATAGCTGCTAATTCTGAAGGGACTTACATTGTTGGTGGAGGGATTTCCGGAAAAATCTATCTTTGGGAGGTGAGATTTTATTCTCCTTTCCTCCCTTGTTTCAGTGATGGAAAACAGGAATTAGTTTGATTCAACTTAGTACGGATTTTGATTGCTGTAGACTGCTACTGGTAGATTGTTGCTTGAGAGATGGGAGGCGCATCTCAGGCCGATTACTTGCCTGGTATTCAATGACGACGGTTCACTTCTGGTTTCTGGGTCGGAGGATGACACTGTTAAAGTGTGGCCACTTTTGAAGTATCTTACCCTTCTCTTCTTGTGCAAATTCTGGTTAAAAAGGGTGTAAATTTTTTGTTGGTTGTAATTGCTAAGGACGTTTTTTTTCTTCTGGTGTGGTTCTATCTGTGGCAGGGTGTTAGATGATAGAGAACCAGACAAACCAAGTCATCGCTACTTGTATAACTTTTCAGACCACACTATGCCAATAACTGACCTGGTTATAGGTTATGGAGGATGGAATGCAGTTATTGTTTCAGCCTCAGAGGACCAAACTTGTAAGGTTTGATTTCTCAACTTGATTGTTTGTGCATTCCTCTGCCAAAGCCACAATGAATCATTTATCTGACCTTGGGGATTCTTGTCAGGTATGGAGCTTATCTAAGGGTGAATTGTTGAGAAGTGTTGTGTTTCCATGTATAATCAATGCATTAGTCTTGGATCCTGCGGAAACCGTCTTTTATGCTGGTGGTAAAGATGGGAAGATATATATTGTTGCCCTTAGTGCCAATAGCCCATCCAGCAAAAGTCCTTGGTTGCACATCATTGGTTCGTTGTCTAGTGGAAGGTTAGTTATTTGCTATACATTCTGTTGTTTATGTAAGATGTTGGTCCTTCCAACGTCTTTCATCCGTTTTCATTTGAACCTGCATAGGTAGAGACCTAACAGATTTGGTGAATCGTGAGCTTGAATTGCATAGGCTGCTTCTTTCCTTTCTTCCCGTTCATTTGATTCCCTTTTTCAGAGGAATATTCCTTCTTAATTTCAGTAAGACTACTTGGCCGGTTAAACTTGCCAATTTCTTTGAGGTGTAAGAACTTTTCTGTTTATGTTTGTGATTGAGCAGTAAGAACTTGAGCGACGCTGTGACTTCATTAGCATACAGTACCAGTAAGAACTGGTTGCTTGCTGGATCAGAGGATGGGTCAATTCGAGTCTGGGATCCCAAGAACATGAACCTCATTCATGGATTCCATCATGAAAAAGGTATTTTGTGCCTATGACCTGATCTTCCGTGAACGATGCAAAGCCTGTAGTATTGACCTAAAGTTCTGGTCCAACACAAATTTTCCATTGAAGCTCTCTTTTCTGTGATAGTCATCTGAATTTTTTCCCGAGACAGGTCTTGTGAACAATCTGCAGGTCACAAGGCGGCGAAAGTCTTCACTACCACCTCCACTGCAGAACTTCCAAGCGTCGAAAGATGACAAGTCATCGCTGCTGCATACTAACAGTAATTGTCTTAAGGCTGCATATGTCACCTCTCCTCTGATCGACAACCAACTCATAGAACTTCAGATTACTAATTCTCTGTTCTTGGTTTTCCATTCCATTTCCATCGAATGAATTGATGCAAATATGTAGTTTCTGTCCTGTAGATTTTGTTTATGCCAGATTTTTTGCATTTATGTTGAGTGGGACCATGTTTAATCTTGTTGCAGCAAAAGGGTTCTTCAGCTGCGGCCGAAATGGGAGTAGCAAAGGCGAAGCATGATCTTGCAGAGTCTAGACAAATGGTGAAGAGATTGAAGACAACCTACGAGAGTCTGCATAAATTCTGCATGGACGAGATATTGGAGGGTGATGGCCCCCCGAAAGGGTAGTGTTGATCAAGCTTTTAAGTAGTGAGCTCAAAAGTAATCATTTTGTGGATGCTTGAGCTGGAGAGTTTCTGTAACTTTTAGTTTCGTTCATTTCGTTTGTTTTCGGCTTAATTGCAAGTTTGGTCACTCGAATTGCTATAAAATTTCACGTTTGCCACTCAAATTAATTTATTCCATTTATAGTCACTCGAATTAGTTGAACAGTTCGAGTTCGGTCACTCTCCGTTAACCTCTGTTAACTTTGACTGAAGTGGCGGTCAACTCTGACAGTTGACCGTTAAATGTGTGACGTGGCAAATAAAAAATAAATAAAAATTAAAAATTAAATTTTTAGAAACGGAAATGTGTTCAAGGCATCCAACGGGAAATCGGCTGGGTACTCAAGTCATCCAACGGAATCGGCTGCTTACAGCTCGCCGAATGGATGTCGGAATACGCATTCTTCGCTCTACAAAGGTCCCACGAGAGCAAGAACGGAGCCGGGGAAAACGACGAATACAGGCCGTTCAAACGAGGGCAGGCGGCGGACGGAGGTGGCGATCTGGATTCCTATTTGACGCCCTAATTTTTTAAAATTTCCGCCATAAATTAACAAAACAGACGAATTTACCCCACTAGCCCTAAATCCCTAAAACATATTGTTTCCGCTGCCCTGTCGACGCCGTTTGCCCTGGATCCTACCACGTCGTCGGCTATGCGCTCTACAACTGCCTTCCGCTCGAGAATTGTCGCCGTGATAATCTTCCGCTTCTGCAACCAGACCCAACCGATTCTGCAACCTGACCCGGCGGGGCGGTTCCTTCTTCCTCCTCACCTACGCTCTGCAGCAGAGACCATTGGCAACCCGATCAGCGAACTGAGTAGGCCAGGCGGGATTCTTTTCTCTCTTCTGCGTCCTCGATTGGCGTAGGGGAAGGCATGTCGGCGCGGCGGAAGGCATAGCGACGGGGAAAGAACCTCAGGGCGTTCATTAGTTCCTCACCGCCGCTCAATTCTCTTATCCCTTCCCTTTCCTTTGTCGCCTCCAAGATACAGAGACCGCCGCCCTGCAAACCCAGCAACGAGCAGCCGCTTCGTTCGTCCTCCACCGCCCTCTGTACGACCAATCGTCAGCCTGCCCGCCTCTCCTACTCGTCGGACGGGTTGAAATCCCGTCAGCGACGAGGTTGGCGGCAAGTCTCTTCTCCTCCCCTTTTCTTCCTCATCCCGACGGATATGAACGATGACAATGGGGTTCCTTCTTCCGACGCCGATCAGGCGCTAGAGGTTGGTGATGACGATGACGATTGGGCACTTCTTCTTCTTTGTCCTTCCCATCAATCTCGCAGCGGCGACGAGAGCAAAATCTAGTTTTGGATGGTCGGCGGCAATTTTTTTTTGTTTTGTTGAAAACCCTGCCGCAATCTTCATTTGAAGTTTAGGGCGATTTAGGGGCAAATTTGTCCATTTATTGATTTAGGGCGATAAAATTTGAAATGTTAGGGCAACGAATAGTAATTCCCGTGGCGATTGGGGAGAGTGGAGAGGAGAAGGAAGGAAGAAGTCGAGAGGATGGTGGGAGCAATGGACAGAGAAAGGAGGTGGAATTTGGGTAAATTTCTAAAAATTTAATTTTTAATTTTTAATTATTTTTTATTTGCCACGTCACACATTTAACGGTCAACTGTCAGAGTTGACCGCCACGTCAGTCAAAGTTAACGGAGGTTAACGGAGAGTGACCGAACTTGAACTGTTCAACTAATTCGAGTGACTATAAATGGAATAAATTAATTTGAGTGGCAAACGTGAAATTTTATAGCAATTCGAGTGACCAAACTTGCAATTAAGCCGTTTGTTTTCACTATTTATTCACACATCAAAACCATTTTGGAGCCATAAGCTAAATTCAATTACAGTTGATCAGTTATACAGGTAAAAGATGCTTGTTTTGCAAGTAATTCCCGCTAGGGGTGTTCAAATGGTTACCGTGGTAATAACCAAACCAATTAAGCCTAAATTGCATTAACAATGGAATAAAATGTATTAACCAAACCGTCCAAATTAACACGAAAACCAAATTAACCAAACCAAAGTTTAATTGGTTTGGTTAATCAGATAATCAGATTAACCAAATAACATAACATTACATGAAAACAATTATCTTGTTAATGAATAAAACATAACCATATGTTATTACTATCATAAACTATCATTATATATAAGCAATAATAATAAGACCAACTATCCATGATTATCATCATCATTCGAGTTAATACATCATTCATCATCTATGCACCTAATATAGTTAGCTTACAACAAACCCTTAACATATATATTAAATACATACTAATACCACTCATTAGGAAGTTAAAGCTCTCATACAAAACACTTAAACTATACATAGTTTGAGGTGGTTGTCATGGTACTGTACGTAATCCTAAAGTCTAGTAGCTGTCCAAAATGTTTTGATTTAGTAAATAGGCGGGTCCATTTAATTTTCGACCCATAATGCTTTGGTTTGTTGTGCACATGAGAATAAAATAGGGAATCACGAAAGTTTAGTTTGGTTGGTTGCATGGAAGTATAAATAATTTTGTGTATTACGTGTATCATTAATTGGTTAATTGGTTTCATTGGTTAACAGTGTTGAAACCAAACCAAATCACCTAAACCAATTAAGCTAAATTGTTTAACCAAACCAAACCAATTGTTCAAATTAACCAAACCAAAGTAACCGAATGCTACTGGTTAATATGGTTACCACAGTAACCAATCCGTTTGAACACCCCTACTTCCCGCATGTCTGTACTGGTGCTACGTTTTGTACTAAATCTAGTTTTCTTATACTATGTTGCTTCGCTTCGGCTGTTTTAACTACTTAGAGCCAGAAATCCCTACAAGGTTGGTGTTTGTAATCTCAACCCTCTTTTTATTAATAAGATCTCATAGTAGTCGATTTTATGCTCAATCACAGTACCGTTATAATCATCCATCCGCATACTGTTATAATCATCCATCCGCTTGCCTGTTTATCTCTATCAACTTTATCTACTTTATGAGTTCCTTTACGTTCAAGCCATCAGTCCATTTTCTTTTTAGGAGCTATATTATTAGGGTTAATATTTTCGTATGGCCTGAACTTTGACCAAAATAAACATCCTGGCCAATCTTTTTGATCTATAACATCCTGGCCCGAACTATACACCAAAATAAACAATTTGGACAGATCACTTTTGGCCGTCAACTTGGACGGTCAAACGCATTGATCGCTAGTTAAACGAAAAAATTAAATATTTATCAGATCTTCTGACTTGACAGTAACGGGGCGCGTTGACCGTTAGTCAACGCGTTTGACCGTCCAAGTTAACGGTTAAACATCGGGTTTGGCCAAATTGTTTATTTTGATGTATAGTTCGGGCCAAGATGTTATAGATCGAAAAGATTGGCCAGAATGTCAATTTTGGTCAAAGTTCAGACCATACAAAAATATTAACCCATATTATTCTATCAAGATCTGCTTGCTCTGGTTAACCATTATTAGTCTAACTTAGTGTCCAACATCGTTTAAAATTTTAGTAATATTTTCAACTTCCTTTTTTAGCATACATAACTTAAATCAACATACACCACATCAATCGCCCAAAAATTTTGCTAATAGAAATAAATTTGGTTTCCTCGCCAGTCTATGGCAAGTCAAAATCCAAATCCAATCAAAATCATTATAGTATTAGCAAATTTCAGATTTCCAAACCCAACCCACGAAAGAGTCCAACAAAATCACAAGATTTATAGTCCCTAGTCTAACAAATTACATTCAGAGGCAGTGATTTACAATCGTCAAAACTAACAATTTACAGCACGTTAATTACTTTCCCATCATAGAAAATTCTTTTTAGCAAATTCTAGCATATCAAAACTATATCCGAAACCATCCATCAAACCCATCAAAACACCAAAATCCCAGATATTCAAAACTAAACCTTATTTTTCAAATACTCAGACCTGCAAATCAATTAGATCTACCAAAGCATAATCCGTTTTTTTAGTTTTAGATCTCTCAATCCTAAACTGATCAGTGTTTAAAGGAACCTATCTAGACCCGACTTTTATTTTAGAACCTGCAACAAAAAAAGAGTAGAGGTCATAATAGATTAAAAAGGTAATAAATATAAAGTAAAATTACCGAAACCTAAAAACCTCACTAGCAAAGGTTATCGGTAGCCTCCACCGCGCTGGTCGCCGGTTGCCCTCCCTCTGTCGCATGACTCCCTCTCTATCTTTCCTCTCCTCGACATAATCCCTAGTCCAAAATCAAAACCAAGGATAAATTAGAATTATGTTTGAACCAAAACAAAAAATCCAACAAAATCAAGTTAAAACTTACTTTTTAGTTTTTAGGCAAAATACACTTTCATAGCCATAACTATTCGCGTTGTGACAAATATAGCCACTTTTTGAAAAATACACTCGTATAGCCATTCCGTCCAAAACTTTAACAGCAACATTGTAAATGCTGACTGTACTAACGTTTTCTGGTGACGTGGCGATTTTTTGTTTAAACCAATCCTAGTTGGAAAGTTTCCTTTCTTATTAATTTACTATTATAATTGCAATAAAAAGTAAAAATAACAATACATAAAATTGGGCACGCCTTCTTCATCTTCTTTTCTCCTTCTTCTCCACCGCCACACTGATCGCGGCCGCCACCGCTAAACAGAGGGAATCGCATCGTCTTCTCCAACCACCCACCACCGTCAAAACTTGTTTCATTGACCCCTAACAGAAACCCATCGAGCAGAAACTCGATTATGTAGGAAAAAATACGATTTCGCCGCCAAAACCCATCTTCCCAAACTTCATCCTTCTGCACCAGATTCGGATCCAAATTCAAATTCAAATGTCTTGAATCCTCCCCAGTAGAAGTTTCCTCTTCACTCTCCCCACTGGCGGCCTAAAATTCACAGCTAGGTTAAGCTCTCTCCTCCTCCTCCTCCTCCTCCTCTCTCTCTCTCTCTCTCTCTCTCTCTCTCTCTCTCTCTCTCTCTCTCTCTTCGGCGGAGAAAATGGGTCCAAGCGCCTCCGCAACAAGATCGTCGGCCTCTCCACCCACCCGAAGAAGCGGATCTAGAAGGTTCCCGTTCGTAGCATATCGTCGGCTTCTACCATCTTCGTCAAAATTTTCTTGCTGTGTGGTGGAGAAGAAGAGAGGGAAAAGAGATAAGGGAGAGAGAGAATGAGAAGGGAGAGTATTTTCTGAAA